TCTGCTGGTGTGTAACAACTGTGTGGTGTAAGGAGTTATTTTAGCAAGTGTCAAATAATGAAGAAAATCAGACAGATGTCAATGAACACCCAGTGAGGGGTTTAGACGGCAGCATTTGTTTTATGGCAGTAATTTCCTGAAATAGGCGTCGCACCTCGCACCTCGCCGACAGACTGCTGGTGGGGAAAACTGACCGACTATGGATCTGTGAGCTCTTTCCTGAGCAGTAATGACAAGGAACTAAGATAAAGCGTCTCTGTGTGTGGTCTGTGACGAAAACATGTATACTTTTTTTTAAAAGTGCGATATCTTTTTTTAAATGTCAAAAACACACCTCAAACATAACCCCGACTTTTCTACAATGGCCTGTATTAAGATGAAAATAAAAAGTGTTGTGAGAAAATGATTTATTCATTTTCAACAAAGCTGTATGTTGTGGCGACGGGATACTCTTGACTGCTCGTGATATCTGATGTGCACTGTTGTATATTTCCTGTGCGAATATAAAACATTGATTATATAACTACCTTCCCACCTCTACTATACTGTAGCAATACTCATGAGACCTCAACAAAATGAAAAATACCGTCGTTGTATCAGATTATTTCTAATATTAATTTGCATTTACATCATATATACAGTATGTGCATTTACACGTATTCAACTTCCTTAGCAAGTCAAACGCTGAAATGTTAGCAGTACAGATCTATCATGCATTTCTATTAGAACACCTACAGCACTGCTCTTGTTCAGTTTTCATTTACATTATTTTCCATTTATAAACACATTTAATTATGCAAATGCAGAGTTAATTTCTAGCCTGTTTCTCCTTCCAGCTTTGAACGTTTGTTCTTCCAGATGGATCTCCTCTGTCCCCCCCCCAATAATTCACCATATATGTGGTACGATTTGAACGCGTGTTTATAAAAAGTGCCTTCTCGAATAAAGACAATCATTTAATTTTGTTAATGGGTCCTGCATTGCATGTATCCACGCAAAGAAAAGTGTTCAGATAAAAAATGATAAAATGGGTGAAATAGGATCAGTACAATTGCTTTTATGTGTCGGTGCAGGATATTGGGTATTGCTTACATTCCTTTGGTTTTTAATTAAACTTTCTTTCAGTTCGTGGAAACCCAGAGTGACTGTGAAAAGTGCAATCTGTATGCGCCTCTGCTGTCTGTCATCTGAATTCACCTTGTTCAATAATTGACAAACACCATTTCGTACTTGTTCAGTCCCTTCATGCGTCACAGCTCCCACTCAGGAAGGCTTCTTCAAAGTGAAATGTTTCTGATTTACGGTGCTTGCCCACTTGAGTTATTTCTGATGTGATGGGAATACGAAAGCAAACAGAATGAGATAATCCGGAAGCCCAGGGTCGGAAGCTTTTCCGAGACACCAGAACACCCCCTCAAAAAGTATCCCATCAGATTTTCCATGTGAAAAAATGTTTGATAGAAAACCGCAGGATTTTCTCAGGGCAATTTCTCCAGCTGGTGCGTCTGTGCTCGGTGGATCTGACTGTGACGTGTCCAGTCCTTCCTAATTTGCAGAGACATGCTGATGTGACTGGTTGAAAATGACTTCTTAACAGGATTTTCTGGCTTCCTTGGCAACTAAAGAGTGGTGTGCCTCTTTTCGTTCTGTTTTTGTGTACCTGATGTTAAGAAAATAGCAACCAGCTCTTTGTTTTGGAGAACTCTATCACAGAGAAGTGACAAATTCACAAAAGGCTGCCTGTTCCCCAAACTCACAACAGGCTGCCTGTTGCACGGAGCTCAAAACAAGCTGCCAGTTCCCCAGATTCACGACAATTGCCTGATTCCCAAACTCATAACAGGCTGCCTGTTACAAAGAGATCACGACAGGTTGCCTGTTGCCCAGAACTCACCAGAGGCTGCTTGTTGCGTGCACTGTCCAAACATATTCACTAGGATAAATACGCACCATCCAAAACTGCTGTAACCCATGATGATTGTAGCATGACTGCTACATGACTATAAGGTGCATTTATTGTTTAAAGGGTGATCACATGGAGCATCAATAAATACTTGAACATTAATAAAGACCCCTCAAGTCAAAGAATAGTACTGATTACAGTTCATAAAAGAGGTATTCCCAGTATGGATGTATCGGCACTAATAAAGCTATTGCCAGGTCCAGTAGTTATAAATATGATGTGAGTGTTTTCATACCACAAAGCTTTAACGAGGAACAGAACCACATCAAATGTCATGACATGAAGTGGGCAATCTATGTCCTGAAAGGACAGACTGCCTGCAGGTTGTCTTTCCATCACAGATCTTAATGAGCTAATTCAGCTTTTTATTGGCATAATTAGCCCAGTTCAATGGCTTCTCCCAGTTCTTCAGGCCCTGGTGGTTTAACAAGACCTAGATAACCTGAACACACACCAGTCCACCAGGATCAGGATTACCTATCTCTGCTTTTAGTAGAGGCACAGGCAATGCAATCCTTCCTTTTCTTCTATATCAGGCTCAGGGGTCTCTGAACCAACTCTTTTGAAGATTCTTGTTCTTTAATGTGAAGTCACTGGTCTGTCTTCTCTGTCCTGTGCACGACTGCAAATGTTGCTCTGGCTCTTGCACATTCATTTGCACATTGCTGTCGATGCTGCTCGGCTACAGACAGCATGACTTACTTTTTCACACCTATCCTGCTATTCCAGCCTCTGATTTGTCTTGTATGATCAGCACTGCACAGTTTTCTCTGTAGCGTGAAGTTGTCTGTCTCAGCTCACTGTGAGTTTTCCGGGTGTCCGTTCAGTGTGTTTGGCACACTTCAGATATCTCGTTACATCTAGAGTGGTTGTGATAGATCAGTTCCTTGTGCTGGGCACAAGATAATTGTTTTTTAACTGAGCAGTGACACAGAGAGATGCTTCCCCTTTCTTGTCCTGCGGACGTGCTGCGCTGTGTGAGCGGTTGCATTGTGACAGTGTCACAGGGACGCAAAAAGAAGCCTCAAAAAGAAAAGCAAGAACAAGACTGCTGCCTGTTGCCCAAACCAGCTATTTAAAACAATGGATTTTATGTGCTTTACTTTGCTCCACTTTCTACGCTGGAGTTAAACAACAGTTTTGCAATGACCCTAATGTTGCATTGTTGCTCTAACCCCATTCCCCCCCCTCCAGGCCCCAGGGAAGAAGAGGGCTGGGTTCTTTTAGGAAATGTTTTCGTGTTGCACTACAGACTGATCATTGGCCTCAGAAGTCTTCCCAGATAGCCGCATTCACAACAGACTGCCTGTTGCCCAGAGATCACGCCAGGTTGTCTCTTACCCAGAATTCACGACACGCTGCCTGTAACCCAGAGATCACGCCAGGTTGTCTCTTACCCAGAACTCACAACAGGCTGCCTTTTACCCAGAACTCACAACAGGTAGACTGTTGTGAGGAATCTGCCCACTGTGCAGAATCCTCTTGGTTCAAACCCTCCACACTGCAGTCTCATCTCCTCAGTGAGAGAATATCTGTCCCAGCATTCCCTGTCTACACCAGCTTGACACGCAGCACAGGATTAAGTTGCTCTGGAAAATAATCAGGTTTTACTCAAGTATCATTTGTTTCAATGTAATCCCCCATGTAGAGTTTGACGCAGAGATTAATTTTGATGTTTCTGTTCCAAATGTAGGAAATAAGAAAGTTTTATGGCAATGAATATTCCCTGATCCTCTCTATTCCAAAGATTTCAAACCCAGTTTCTGGAGGGCCTGGCGTCTCCTGGTTTTTGTTTTACCTAAATTGTCAGTTCCGTAATTGGCTAAGTTTACTTAATTAACTTACTTTACTTAACTGCATAACCTCTAACCAGGCTCTGAGGTGATTTCTAGGTAACTACAGTATATCTTTAAAATTAGCATCTTGTGTTACCAACTCTAAAAAAACCTTAAGAAAAAATCCTCTATGTGCCTAATCTATAAAATAATTAGGTTAATTGTTTAATTGAGTAGCCAGGTTGGAACAGTAAACAAAAGACATAAGCCCCCCAGGAGCTGAGAAACCATTCCTCTAGACTCACGAGACCAGCCAATCAAATTACTGACCAGAACTAGGACAAGGCAGTATTATCTAACATTCCTATTCACACCAGGGATATTTGGAAAGAGGAGGGTGTTTAAGTTTGTTTTAATTTAATTATTTAATTATTCCACCCTCACATGCAAAAATGACATGAACAATCGAGAAACGGCCACTCGAAGCCGTGAAGTGTTACTCTCCAACTAAATGACATCCAATTGCGACAATGAGGTTTCCATGGCAACCCAGGGGTAATGTACACAATTTGCACGGATGGGCAGCTGGGAGTGACTTTGTGGCCGACCAACAATCCCGATGCTCAGCTCTGGCCTGACAGGACAGCCCTCCGCTTCGAATTCGTCTCTCTCTGAGGAGCTGGAGGGGCTGTCGTAACAGGGTACCGCGAGACAGTGCACTAGAAACCTCATTGTTTTGCTGCAGGACGGGGTCGTCACCTCTTGAATTTCAGCAATCACAATTAATTGCTTCTGTGCCAAAAGGAGAGAGAGAGAGAGACGGGGGGGAGAGAGAGAATGAACCATCCCGAATTTGGTAACGGCTTTCAAATACTTCAATGGAGTGAGCAAATCACATTAAAAAGTGCTATTAAAAAAAAACCAACAATAACTGAACAGTAATGGCTGAGCGATCTCTGTATAAACAGTCTTAACCTCCACAAAAGTCTGATAGATCTGTCTGTGCAACGTGTCACTGAGGGCTGTGCTTCACTCATACTGCTGAGCAGTTTTTCTTTCACCTAGTTGAAAACACATATGTTTCCCCATGGCGGGTTGGCTTTTAAATGGAGCCGGTAGGTATGTGTGAATCTGCGACTTGTTTCTAACAGGAGCCAAAGCGCTGAACTCTAAACAGTCTTCAGCAGTTTGATTCCAGCACTAAAGATCTGAGACACTTGCTCCAAGCTTTTGCAAAACGTGGGCTAAAACGCAAATGATCTCTGTTAGTCATGCTTGCCTGTGTGGATTGAGGGTGGTTAGAGAGAGTTTGTGAGATTGCTCACATAGCAATACGTGAGCAAACAGCACATATAGAGCTATATGGGTGTGAGGTACACATTTACATATTGAGCTGCATATGAAAGCAAACGGAAGATACGAATCAAGCAATGCAGAGCTACATTTAAATTTTCCATCACAGCAGCAGCTTTCGCATTCGTACAAATAACGTGTTTTAAGGAGCTTGTCGTAGAGGAAAATAGTGCCTTCAGAGTCACTTAACATAAGATACCAGTTTTTAAACAGATACAGTATATAGTTGTTTACAGCATGTTTCACTGCAACCATTTTAATAGTTTCAATGGAAACACTCTCCAGAATCCTCACACAGGTTTACAAATCACATCAGAGAAGCTATTCAGCAAAGGGTATACAGACCAGGTGAGGTAATCCAGTTCTCTTTCAAGTGCACTTTGTCCTGGCCTTTCCTAAGTATTCAAGTTCTCGTTACTCCTGAAAATCTCTGTTCTTTCCCGATGAAAAGTAAAATGCAGAACAAAAAATGATTGCTTGTTGGCAGAGCTGAAAGCTAGAGAGAGCAGTGTATTTTATTGCTTATGTAATGATCTGATTATTTATTGCTTATGTAATGATCTGATAAAGAGATCTCATAGAAATGGTTCTATGAGCAAAAATGGACTAAGCAATCTCTTAAACATTCCGTGAGGCCAAAACACAAGATTCACACTATTTTTCTTCTGAAGAAATAAATTGAAATAAATTGTAAAAGAGACTTTGCCCTGTGTCAGAGGTCTTTTTGTGCCTAAGCCACGCGTCCAGACTGGATCTGTCATGACTTTGAGTTTTCCACTATCTAGATGGACAGCAGTGCCAATTACAACCTTGATAGAAGAGCAGAACAGAGCTTTAGTATCTGGTTCTAAAAATACACTGAAACCAAGGTAGTGAGTCCAGCACTAGAGTTATACATGTATACCATTCTTCGCCTTGATTATGCAAAACCTGCATTCATTCAATAAATTCTGTACTTTTGATTTTAGCTGTTGGAGTATCTCTATTGGAAGTCCACTAATGCCTTGGAGGTTTTGTCTGTGCAGAATGACAGAGGTATTGAACACCTGTGAGCCTGCGATGGAGGACTTCAGCGTGGGCGCAGCCTCAGAGGAGCAGGGCATCTCCTTCCAGGTGCGTTAGAGGTCTTCATCTTCATCACGGAAGAGACAGGTGTCCACACCTGCTCAGACGCCAAGGGAAACAGTTGCTAGCCTCCCTGTTTCAGTTCATTCCAAGACAGAGTCTTGACAAAAGCATTATTTTAGCTGTTTTATAAATGCTCCTTTCCATTCAGAGTTGTGAAGGAGCCAGAGCCTATCCCAGCAAGCTGTGGGCGCAAGGCTGGGTACACCCTGGATGGGGAAGCCAGTTTACCTGCTTGATAAATTGATAATCTATTCCATAAGTCAATTTAAGGGAAACAGGAAAATTGGCTGTTGGAGTGCTTGTGATAGGGAGTGATTTCAAGCAAGTGTGAGGGATATTTAACAGGAGTCGTTTGCTTTCAGTATTAAAATTCTCCTTATTGTTACCACTACTAAAATAATATTAATAATAATAATAATAATAATTATTATAATAATAATAATAATAATTATTATAATAATAATGTTTTGTTTATGGAATTGTCATTAGTACATGTTCTAGGAAATTTGATCAAAAACTACTAATTCAATGAGAAACTCATTAATTTTACCAGCTACAGCTGACATATCAATTATTAGGACGGAGTGCTTAGTTCCTGGCTTCTAGGATCTAAAAGATTCATTTAAAATGTGAATGATAAATGAGCCTTTTAAATATTAACGGAGGTAATCAACAGAGTTGAGATCTGTGACTTTGGTAACAAACATGGCTTTGTCAATGGTGAAGTTGGCAGGTTAAGGGAAATCACTGTTAATCTGTATTTTTTACATGTATAAGTATTCTTCATCCCAGTGAATCATGTAACATTCAACCTCAGCTAAACACTCGCCTTCACAGAATCACTGCTAATTAGCTGTAAACACCGAGCCTTTACCACAAACATCCTCTCACTCTCTGAAGAGTGATGCGGATGTTTTTAACCCTTTTATCACAGAAGCTTCAGAAAATATTACTGTCTTTAACCCTATTCTCTTTCTGTGCTAACATTTTTGAAAAACCCCCAAATGAAGTGCTTGCATAATGCATTCATATGACATATTTATACTTAGAAATAAAAGACATCATGGCATTTTATTCATTTATATTTAGATTTCAATACAGCCCGCAGGGTGCACACTATGTATGTAGAGGGCAAGAAACACTGCTTCAATTTGTCTTCCCCCTGCGACGTGACAGGTTCCCTGTGCTTGTGCAGGAGCTAAGAATAACAGCTGCCCTCTGGGGCCGTGCGCGGTCAGATTTTCCCAGATTCCCACGAGAGGTATCCCAAGCTGTCCAAGAGGCTGCCGTCCATCGTGGTGGAGCCATCGGAGAGCGGGGAGGTGGAGAGCGGGGAGCTGCGCTGGCCCCCCGATGACCTGAGCACCACGGACCCCGTCGCGGAGGCCCCGCTGGGCCAGCCCCCTGCGCCCCATCCCACAGCAGGTAGGACCCCCCCCCAGCCCACAGTGGGCTGCCCGGGTGGGAGCCCCGGCACAGGGCTGGAATTACCGGCTCTCGGTACCCAGCACACTCCGGGACCTTAGAGGCACCCCGACGCGCACTGCACCCAGACGGGTTGTTAGTGGGTGGGACAAAAAACCCTTTTCACAACTCTCCAGCTGACAAGCCCAGGTGTGGAGGATTGTCTGCGAAACAGGAAGTGACAGGACTGGTTGCATTTTTGATCGAGTCTGTTGTGAGCATGATTGTGCAGATCAGCCGCACACGTGCTTAATTGCGAAAACGATTACGACCCTTCGCTCGGACGCGGTGTGGGGCTCCACGGGAAACGGGAAAGCTTGTTTTCCCCCAAAACGTGACCCCCCCCCGTCCTGCGAAGGTCACTGCCTACTTATCTCTGGAGGGTATTATACAAAACAAGCTTTGAAGGATCAGTCAGACAGACAGTTTGCATATGCAAAAACCCTCATCTTTCCATGTCGTCAACAGAAATAAAAAAGAATCAGGTGGTGATCGTAAGGCAGGCTAGTTTTCTGTGATTTTTTTGTACGGCTTCTCACTGACAGGGGACTGCGTTTCCTCCATCATTATCAAGCCTTGACCCCTCGTTCTTTGCTTGAAGTAGCTGGGAAATTCTTTGAGTTTGGTGCCACTGTGGGATCTCATGGTATCAGACCACCAGGGGGTGGTGCACATTGAAACCAGCCCACGAGGTTCATTATTCTGCATTGAAAGACTGATTTATTTATAATTTGTTTTAACTGGAAATGAAAGAATCCAGCTCACAATCACCTGCCTCCTACACTAGACAACGGTGCTATTTGCAGAGACTTGGCTCCATGCAAGCTGTGCATGTTGGTACTTTGTCCTCTTCCTCCAACTGTCATCACTGTCCTTGCAAATGGGTGTTATCTCCTTCGGAGACCTGTTATGCCAGGACTCAGAGTGTGCCTTGTCGCTTGCAGTAAGTTCCCTCTTGATCACAGATGCTACACTGGGAATCAATGTGTTCGCACATCCCAAGGTTACTGACAAGTTTCTCCATTTAGAAATTCAGGGTTTTCACATTTTTCCACTGTTTTAAGCTCCTGTAACACACGCAGGCTGAGGGACATGCCATAACGGAAGGCCAGATTCCTCGGAAACTGTGACATCCACAGCACAGTGGCAGAGCCGAAATTTAAGGCAGATTCTATCAAGAGTCAGATGAACAGTTTGAAACGGGGAGGGGGGCATTTTTTCTGCCCCCCTGCACAGACCTCACCTCGGGTCAGCCACACCACGGGCACGTCGTGGCCAGAGACAGAATTACACCTGATATAACAGGGCAGGCAACAGGCCATCATACTGTACAGCAGCAACTGCCGACACACGTTCTTCTGGGTGGAAGTTGGCTGTTGGACATGTCCTCCTGGTTAGGTCTTCTTCGAGCCGTCCGGCCCCCCGCCGGGCCGGGTCTCAATGGCATCTGTGTTTCCAGGTGACGACGCCTCGCGGGGCACCCAGGAAGACAGCGCTGTGGCGGACAGCCCAGTGGAGGGAGGCTCTAACTGAAGCGCAGCGCCCCGCCAGCTCCAGCTCTCACTGTGAATGTCTCCAGGCAGACAGGAGCCATGAGGACCGACAGGGGGCAGCCTGAACACTAGGCCCAGACACCTGCGGGACGGCCCTTGTTCTTCATGGTTGGGCACAGCCCTGTAAACTGTCTTAAATAGCTCACATGTGCCAAACTGTGGTGGTAGCTACAGTACTGTGTATAAATGTCTAGTTGACTTCCTTCAAACCTTGTCCAAATTAGAAGCATTAACTTTAGTCACTTAAAACTACAAACATCTTTTTTGTTGCCGCCTTCCGGAGCATCCTTTTATGTCTTAAATTTTTTCTTTCAATCTCTAACGTTTTTGCTGTTCTTTGTTAAAATTAGCCTCTTGTCAGGTCCACACTCCTAACACTCTAGGTGCTCCTTCCTTGCTCTGTACAGAAACCGCTCAAGTCTTTCAGATGTTGGTGTATTGGCTGCCCTTTCATTTTTCTTTGCAGATATCTGGCAGGAGCACTCCATTACGCTTTGTGTAAATCGAATGTTGGAAACGCAGTATTTAAGTATTTGTTTCATCTCTTTCATCATTTTTTTTTTCCAGATGCATTCCAGGGTTTGGTGATTGTAGGTGGGGGAGTTCTCTGATCATTAAAATACACACAGAGGCAGAGGAAAAAAAAAATCTTCCCCTTTAATTTCAAGTTGGCTGTCCGTGGATGTTAAGGCACATTTGTGTGTTTTGCATTGACCACATTAATGCCTCAGATGGAAAAATCGTGGCGTGTGTCTCCATGGATCTGACGAAATTGTGTTTTTTTTTTCCCACAAGGGGTATTTTAAGTCCTGAGGTCCATGGGAGGGAGCACATGCAAAAAAAAAAAACTCTTTGGAAGAGATGGGACTCTCTGGATGAAAAAACACAGCTGGCACTGGCTGTTTTAACTGTGTAGATATTAACTTTTTATGAAAACTTTATAGATTGGCTTCACAAGCTTTTTAAAAAAAGCTGTCACGCAAGAACATTCCATTTGCAGTACATACAGTTGTGTGATTTTTCTAAGTAGTCTGCACGATAAACACCTTATTCGCTCCATAGTGCAAGTCTGTGCGCAATCTTTAAGGCTGTGGAGGTCGGATGGGGATTGTGATCACAAAAGCACAATGACTGTTCTCTGCCCTTGTGCTAAACCTCGAACTGTGCCTTCTGTCCCAGCTGGTAGCCTAGCTTGGTGTAGGGAGTCTCAGAGGGCAGTAACGTCCACAAAAAAACGACATAAATATCAGTTGTTATTTGTATAACAATGACCAATGTGCGTATAGTAATAATTCACTTGAAGATTCTATTTTATGTAGTACAAACACGTTTTTCTTTGTTGCTGAACTGTATAAAGGAAATTTTAAGTTTGTATTAATGATAAAACTGCATTGACCGATTTTAATTGTATAAACACCTTTCCTGAATATCTGGATATGTTGCTGAAACCAACAGTTAGAACAACTTTATAATAAATTCTAGTGTTGAACAGGACTGTTGATGCGGTGTGTTTTCTTTAACGTGAATGGGAAGTATTAGTTGTGTGGACGTGACGGTAACGACAATGTGACGCTCGCCACAAACTGGGTGAAGCAGGGTTATTTACCCGAGGGAACAGCACGTCTTCTAGGGTATTTTTGCTGACGACCTCCACGAGAGCTGTCGGACTCCCTTAATTTCCTCACAGAGACCTCAGGTGACGCTTCTCAAGAGCACGACCGAGCTGCACCCCTCTACACTAACGTCTCCGAGCTGACCCAGTCCTCCATAGCCAACCAAGGTCAGCTGCTCCCGGTTAGGCATTCCCCCCTCTGCAGGCCTCGAAATCGCAAACAGTAGCTAAAGAGAGAAAATAATTTTGGAACAAAGTTGCACGTTGACGGCCGTAGTTCAAATAAAAATATATCAACCATTTTTTAGACTTTTGTTACTTCGGGTTTCGTCTTATGCCCATTTTTGTAAATCTTAAATAATTTTCCTTACGTCTGTAGGGTCTGACCATTCCGCCGCTTCTTCCCAGACGAACTAGAGCAAGAACCGTCCCTCTCTCGGGTGACCGGGGTTGAAATGGTCTTTTCTTCTCGCGTTTACCGCCCGCTGGCTGAAGCAAATTCGCGATCTCAGTGCAGTTTAATTCCCGTTGACTATCGAGCAAGCTGACGAAAACAGGTGAAAACCCACTCGGTATGCGCATGGGTCAGGTGTGTAAGTGGAGCAGTGTGACATGTCTTTGCTTTGAGTTTACAGCCTCGACGTCAATTTAAGCACGTTTGGTGTGAAGCTTGCGACAGATGTACACTTTACACTTGTACACTGTAAGTACACTTTACGTTTTAAGAGTGAAAAGACCAGGAAATGCATGTCAGCATTAAAAAAAACTGCTTTTTATATTATGGTTTAAAGTACACGGGTAAGGTCAAATGTGAAGTGTCAGATTATACCACCAATTTCACTGCAATCTTCAGGTGTCAACAACTGATACAGGGGCCTGGTCGAGGTGTCTCCCTCGATTGTTTCTTGACTGAGGTTACCACCGGGCTTAGATCAGAGTGGAGCTTGGGGCACTCATACAAAAGCACTTGGCAGAACAGGCTACCTGCAAGAATTCATTAAAATAAAGGTCATTAAAATAAACTATAACAGTACTCTGATTCAATGGTTTCTGCTCTAAGGAAGTTGTAGCTGTCAAGTGAGTAATTGTTTGTAGAAACTAGAATTTAAACAATCCCTTAAGAATTTTTACAAAAACTTATCTATGTAAGTTAATGACAGGTTAGGTCACCCCTTCTAGTCTATTAACCTTTAATTTATTTTGTTTTTGTTTAAGATCCTGTCATGACAACCACTTGAAAGCGCTTTAACAAAGGATCAGATCACTCTGGGGAACTGAAAGGCTTTGTGAGGTAGAGCCGTGAACACAGTAAAACAGGCTGACAAGTCTCAGCCTGAGAAATTGACCTGCAAAAACAAAACGAGATAACAACAGGACGTGAGGAGCTGGTGACAAAAGTAATAAGTAATAGAGGGGCGCCTTTCTGTGAAAGTTGTTCCCTAATGTGGGCAGAGACGGGGGACAAAGGCAGCTTCCTCCTCCACTGAAGTCAGTCCTCTGCCAGATGGCAACACGAACAGGTGAGCAACTGACGAGCAGCAGCTGTTAATAAATCCCTTCTCCATGGTTACAATGGTAACTTCTTTGCTTTAGCAGGACTTTTGCATAGGAAACATGAGAGCCACATAATCTGTATTTATAGCTAATTATTAATTTAGGTAGTGGACACTTCTGTCCAAAGTAACTTACACATTTTATACAGCTGGGCATTTTACTGGGACAACCCAGGCTCAAGGGGATTACGGCATTTTTATACCTGGGATCTGAGCCTACAATCATCCAGAGATACAGTATAAGCCTGGAGCAACAACGCCAGTCACTCCACACTGCTGCCGGGACAGTCCTGCAGACGAAGATGACGATGTTCACCTGGACCTCATCGCGACACCATCGTCAAGAGCAATGCCATGGCACGGGCCCTCACCAAGTGGGCAGCCGGTTGGTTTAATTGCTTGTCTGTGCCGCTCACAAGGCGGGCTCATTCTGTCTGAGGGGTTTTCGGGGCTCGACACAGGCGACTGCATTCCTGCCCTGCAGCTGGAATACCAGACCACAGTGTCGTCTGATACTGGCAAATACAGGACGCACAGGACCGAGCCGTGTGCGAGCATGAATCATGTTCTCGCGTGTTTTTGGTGCTGGTGCCGCGCCATGCCTCGGAAGGCATCGGCAACTGGAAGGAAACAAGCATGGCCTCAGTTCTGGGTAGTGACATAATGTCCACCAGGCCGTCCTTCCAAAAGCTGCAGCCTGCCCTGTGCTGATCAGAGCAAACAGACAGATAAATGCGGCCCATTTAGAGAACCCTGCAATCTGTCTGCTCTACTTAGAAGAAAACGAGAGGAATTCAATTAGCTCTCAGGTATGATTAATAGGACTCCCCCTGTCTAGGCCTTGGCAGTATCATTAAAACCCCAGGCTGACATTCCTCAAGCTGGCTTTGAGCATACACCCCTGTCACGCTTCCAGACAGAGCAGAGCAGCCTGATTTGTTTATCTCGGTGATCTAATTATTAAACTTGTATTAACAACATAGGGGAGTTGTGGGTTCTGTGCAGGTTTAACGTAAAGCAATGCTGCCCCTTTAAGGATTTTCTGGCATTATGAATGTCAAAACGGCAAACTGTCTGCAGTGAAGTCTTTTGTCCAGTGGAGTGCATTTTAATGCTTTAATCTTTCAACGTCATATAAGAATAGGGTCGCCATGGTAATCACTTACCATACCGCATTTACAGAATCATTGTCTCTTGTTTTTAATATAATGCGCTTGACCTATTTGTACTGCTATTATTATTATTATTATTATTATTATTATTGAGAACAAGAAGGAGAACTGAGTGACAATTATGCACATACACTGTACATATATTATACTTTCATTCTCTACCTTGCTTTCAAGATCAATTAATGAAAACATCAGTCAAATGCTCCTTAATCGGTTTATTTTCATGCTTTTTTGATGGCGTGCAATAGAAACATGTCACTTAACCGGATATTTTTAGAGTGTTGAAAGGGACTTTGCTTTGTGCCAGTATCAGGTAGGGACTTTTATCTCCGAGTCCTGGTGGCTTCAAATGCTCACTTTCAAAGTGAGCTGTGCTGCAGGATGACAGCGACAAGCCCCCACCCACCCTGACAGTCTCTTCACAGTCTCTTCCCCCTCAAACGAAATGGCTCTTCCGCCTTTAAAAACCAATTACACTAGCATTTCAATCTGAAAGGGCGTGTGGCTCTTTTTTGGAGCGGAAACCTGAGAAAAGCTGTTAAAAAAGGTTGTTGTTTCCTTGATCAATGGGGAAATTATAATATCTAAAACCGGTAAAAAAATCTGGGTGCTCTTCTTCCTCAGCTTTGATGATAGCCGTCAATAATCAAAGGCATGAACACAAGTCCAGCATTGGGACCTCATCCACACAGGCAGCTGAAGTCCATTAATGACCAGCAATTTTTAAAGAACAAACTGCAGCTGTGCATTAGAAAAGTTGAACACATATCCTGTTGTGTCTTATTGAGCTAATAAAATGCCTAAAAATAATTTATGATAAAAGGGCAGCTACCTACTTTAATGTAATTTAATGACAATTGTTTTACTAGGAATTAAGTCCCTGATTTGGTAACATTTTTCAGACTTTTAGCAGCTGTGTGTTTTAATTACAGGGTACTAGTCATACAAGTGGCAAGGAATTTCCCTTTCGCTTCACAAGCGTGGTTTAGCTCTGTTCCATGCAGCAGTCTGATGTGAGACTCTGGGAGGCAGTGTGGGTGGCGTAGTCCCACCGCCTCACTGCAGCAGCAGAAAATAAGGAGAGGACAGGAAGGAGCTGTAATTCTGCAAATGGATTTCTGACAGGAGGAACCTCGAGAACGCTGGTCTGTGTTTCATGCAGGTGGGAACCCAGCTCTGTGGGTGACATCATGGCATTCTCCACTGGCGTGTCTCTCACAGTTAACTCAGGCATTCATCCCTTTTTCCAAGACAAATGAGTTTTTCAGTGTGTGGGAATCACTGACGCTACTGTCTTTTCAATACCGTGCAGCCGTGTGCGGGCTGCAGGAATCGTACTCTTGTCGTTGCAGGGAGAGGGACTGGGGTGCTGGGCTGTAACACACAGCCCCCGTTAAACACAAGTGTCTCGATACAACGGCTTCAGATCGATCACATTCTTTCTCGCCTACCCAGAATAACGCAAGGGATGCGCACTGGTTGCACTGATGTATTTTGGGTGAAAGTACTTGAAGTGTGAAAGTACGTGATTATTTCATGCAGTACATGACAGATGTCTAATTTACTGCGGGTTTCTGCTTTTGCAGAAGAAGGTGAAATTTCACACCCAGGCAGCATATATTATTGTCTTATTTTTGAAGTTATTTCTTCTGTTTATTTTGGGCAGAATTAAAAAAAAATGACTAAGAAGTAAAACATTTCTAAACTTAAAATACAACTATACTTTTGAATCCAATGACAGGACCCATCAGGATTTCTTTTTTTTTTCCAAAGCAGTACATACGTTTCTTTCCCAAATCCTGCACGACGATTCTTAATAACGAACAAACTTCTACTTCCATCAGCATCTTGATTGTGAGTCCAGTGGCAGCTCCATTATTATGAGCCAGACTGGGTTGGAGATGTCAGCCCTGAGCTGAACTGAGCTGGTCCATTAACTTTCCCACAGAGATTTCACACCTGCGCACCTGTGACCCGAGAGCTGAACAAGGGATGGAAAAGAGACTGCTTTGATTCTCGTTGACAACAGCCAGTACAGCACCAGAATCTGTACCGAGGGGAGAAAGACCAGTATCAGGGCCCCCAGGACCCACTGTGTGGTGGTTCAAGTCAGTCCTCATTTGGCTCCTTTGCCAACAGCACAGACGAAGCAGAGAA